CTCCACGGTGGCCCGGGGTTTCTGCGGCGATTTCCTTTTCCATGTGATCCTTGTCTCGCGAAACCCTCCATAAACCTCTTTCTCTTCATTTCTCTTCCCACCACTTCTTCTTTTTGGAGGGGAGGTAGCACACATTCCCTCTATTTTCACTCCAACCTCCCAACCAAACCTTTTTCAAGCACTCAACCAGCCCCCCCCCCCGTTCCCCACCTTCACCCGCCATGGACCCGCGACGCGCACCTGCTGCACCGCCCAACTCTCCGGGCGGAGCTCCTCTGCTCCGGACGCGTTGCTTCGACGACCCGGATGTGGTGGTTGAGCGCGGAGGTGAGGTCCCGGAGAGTGGGGCGAAACCAGCCAGGTGACGGAATGAAGGTGCGGAGCTAGGTGTGATGTGTCTTGGACCCCGGTCGTGAGTTGGACGCGGAGCTCCCCCACTCGAAGGTGAGTGGCGGATAGAGGAAATCCATGGAAAATCTCCGAATCATGGTGAATGAATGAATCAAGAAGCTACTACTGTAGTAACAAGGACGCTATTAGGTGGAGGCCATGCCAAGTAGGTTCCTTTTGCTACTAGTTACAAGAAGCGGTGAATGAATCCAAAACAAAGGGTCGACGACCTGATGGAAAAACCGCTCACGCTCCGCAGACCCTATACGACGTCGGGACACCGGTGGAAGCGGTGGTTCACTAGATGCTATTTTTTTTGGGCCTTCCACTCAACTAAGTCATAACCCGCAACAGGTGATGTAGTTTTCTAAGTCATGGGGTCTTAGCAAACAGTTCCCAGAAGCTAGGACCTAGGTTTCTATCTCTTGTTGTAGCCTGCCATCAAGAGGGCCTGCAAAAGAAACACATCAAAAACACGGACTCCGTCTGTGTGTGTATGTGCTCCAGTGTGTCAGAAGCTAAGACCGAGGCTTCTATCTGTTCATGGGTATTCAGGTTATTGACTGAGGCAAAAGACAAGGCTCCGTAGCAAGTTTCCTGCACTATTCCAAGAGTTCCTTGCATCTTTGAGATTCCATGACCAAAAGCACAAGCTTCCATCAAAGAATTCAGGAATTCTTGCGAACATCGAAAGAGAACCGAAGTCTTTGCATCACTTGCCTTCTTCACTCCCTCATGATTTCACTCCCTCGTGATCATACAATGAATGTCTTCTTCCAGTGTCAGCCGCATGTTTTCCGCAAGCTCTCCATGTTTCATGGTGTTTCATCGTTCAGCTCTCCCTCATCTCGAGCTCCATGTCCTCAAAGCCATCCAGCTGCAAATGCAAATCCCCAAAGTCCATCCGACCACCTGGCCGGACCGGCCGGACGGTCCATCCGCCACCGGTCTCGCCGGTCGCCCACCCGCAACGACACCACCGGGAAAACACGAGGTTTCGGTGCAGGGTGGGCGGCTGGTGGCGGTTTGATATGGCGGTTTGATATGGCTGCTGGTGGTCTCCAGCTCTTCGGCTGATTTCTCCTTCCGTTTTAAGAGTTGACAACTCCTCCAAGCTACTAGCGATGAGGAACAAGGTTCGCTACGTTCCAAACAAAGGGCAAAAGCTACTTGTAACAAAGGGCATGGGCAGAAGCCATGGGGCTACGAGTTAACGAAATGAATCTCCAGGGCATCTCGACGGACTTAGTCGTCCGACTCTCCGTATAGTACATCCCGGCCCGGAACAAGTCTGAAGCCAGCCCGGACACTTTCCCAGATGTGCTCATCATTCGATGCCCATACTTTTGTTGACCTGCATGTGGAGCTATAGGCCAGGCATCTAGTCACATAGTCCAGAACGAACGACACAAAAACATCAACGAACGACACACGAAGGTGCTAAGGCCCGTACCACGCACGGATTCGGTCGCACATCAATGAGCAGCCATCGTGCAGGGTCAGAAGCGAGTTCAAACCTTGTCGTTCCAGTTGATAGCTGGGTAGCTTGGTGGGTTGGTTATGGTTGGTTGGTTCACCATGGGCGTCAGATGTTTCCACACAATCAAAAGGTCAACCAGTCATCTCATGTCTTTGATCACAACAACGACTGGACGACTGCCGTGGATAGTCTATGGAGGGATGCTTTGCCTCCTTTCTTTTGGATTTTGAGGCTTGAAACGGCCACGGTCAGAAGGAATTTACATTGAATCGACTAGGCCATGAAAACTGGTGTCCTTGCATCCGGGAAAGCACCAATTCTGTCCAAACCACAACTGGCTGGCCCATCCAACTAAGCGAACCAGTGACCACAATAAGGGAGGCAATAAGTGAGGCCCACATTTTCACTTTCTACACACTATTTAGAGATAAAACATGTCTTGGCGACTGAAAACATCTGCCGACACTTTTCGTTCCAATGCGATTGAAAAACACCTGCCTACACCCGCTTCTTGGCCTGCATGTGCCCCAAACAACTTTTTCAGCTACACTCCCGAATGGCCCTGACATAGACCCTGACGTCCTGGCCCGCTGGAAGAGCGGTTTCCTCTACCAAACAGTGGTTTTCAGGGTCCATGTTAGTCTTCCAGGTGTATATATATCCTCAAAGCCGTGTGTAAACAATCACCTGGACGGTCCTGGACGCTTCATGATTGATCACGCTCTTCGGACGACTGGATGACGAGCCTCCTTTCGGAACTCTTCGCCCAAGGCCGGACGAGCTGCAGTGACATGTTCGGAACCTTTCCGCTACTAGGGTGCCAACGCTAGTAGGTTGGAGGCCATTGCTGTCTGTCTTTTCAGCGCCTTTGTCCTCGCAGCAAGCAGCAACCTCCTCACTTTGTACAAGGCCACCTTCGGCCAGAGGTCACCACACAAGGCTATGCGCACGTCCAGGAGACGCAAACAAAGATCTGTTTGGCACCTACGTGATGCGTGCTATTTCAGGCTGTTGGAGATGTAGGCGAGATCCCGCTGCTGCCCCTGGACTGTGGTTTGACGGTTCTTCTTTCGGTGGTACTCTCAGCGCGGACCCGGCCCAGCAGTCAGACCTGGATTCCATGAGACGTCGGTCTCCAGATCCTTTCGGGCACCGCTTTGGGCCCCATTGGTCTCGATCGCGGTGATCCTTGGGATCACCTGGGGGTGGTGGTTGGTTGGAGAGGAGCAGCAGTGAGGCCGTTCATTTGGACTTGGGACGGCAAATGATGCAGTTCTTCACCACAGGGACCAGTTACAAGCCTGGGGCCAGTGTTGCAGTGTACTGCGCTATAGCCAGTCAATCGGAATTCTTGTGGGTGGAACCACCGGCAGCCGCCTGCAGGCTGACCCCAAACTGTACACAACATGTCTACCCAATAGGGGGGTTTCAAGTTGGCATCTGTCAACCCGCGGGGGATTAGTTTTTGGTTTGGACCTGCTGGTGCCCTCACCACCTTCACACACTGCACATCTCCTCCCCGCCCACGTCCGCCAGCTACCGCAGGCGTGCCACCGCAGCGCAACTCCAGCTCTGCAGTCGTGTAGCTTGCGCCGAGCTCTAAGGCCATTCCCAAATGGGGTAAGGACAACACCTGCAAGAATCGCAGGAGCCCGGATGGAACAGTGACGAACACATGGACGTGTCAGTCTCAGACTCCAGCCAGTCGAAATATAGTCTTTGGACTTCTAGGGTATATATATATATATTAGACTTGGATCTCAATCAAGAAAATGGGAACTGGTTCTGGGAATTGCAAGCGGATGTACGCAACAATCGCTTGGACCCTGTTTGTTCAAACCGGAAGTCAGTCAGTCTGTTGGACCATCCTGAAGAAAAATCTGACACGGTGTTTGGGTTGGGATTGGAGGCGGTAGAATCTAGAGCCAAAACATTCCCGGGCACCTGGGTTGGAACAATCATGGTTACGTGGAAATGGCCCCTTCAATGACAATATTCCTCTACAAAGAAGTGGTTTTCCATGGTTTTCCACTTCCATGTTTGTTTCAGGGAGTGTAAACCTCCAAAATGCATCAAAATGCTACTCACTTCAAACCCGGCCTGGTACGCCAAAGCCATGCCAAATGATGGAACATGTCTATGAATGATGATGCATGCGAGAATTTGCAATGAGCCTTGATCATCATTCGGGTTCTTTTATCTGTACCTAGGGGGCTTCGTTTATGAAATCAAGCTTTCGAGCATAAAAGCTTGGATCCAGCGGACTTCTTGAACACGTACATATATTTTTTATCGAGTGAAAACTAGTGGGCAGTTACCACTGAGCCATGCCCCACTGCCATTGACTTGCTCAGTGGTGGGGCATCATCCACCGTGTTCTGTGCAAAGTGGCTGTGATAAGGTTATTGCTTTTGAAGGAGGGCCTATCGCTCCCTACTATTTTGATCTTTAGATGTTTTGGCCGTTGCTCATGTGTGTGCCATAGGTACACACGGGTGTTGATGAGCAGCATCTCCTGGCAGGTTTTCAGGCTGGCGCGACATTCTGCTACTGATGGCTGTTCAAACAATTTCACGGTACGCACGGAACATTTTTGCTATCTCTTTGAGCTCCTTTGGGCACAAGGATATAGATTCCAGAGTTTTTGCCTTGGGGTGATGGACAAAAGCAATGTGACCACTATAGTGCGGGAATGGGAAAGCAAGGACTTCACTCAGCTAGGTGCCACTGGGATCATGGCCAGGGTTGCCAAGGAAACAACCGTGTCTCTGAGGCCGAGACGAAAACACTCATGAAAAGCCGGTGGCACTACTACGTAGTGCATGGACTTTTGGTGTCACAACTACGTCGTGTTTTGAACAAAGAGTCTTTTTGAATGCATGAGAAGTGCGATGATTTCCATTGCTCATCCGATGTGGTCCTAGGACTCTGCCCCGTCGTCGGTCGATGAGACGCTCTAGAGACGCGGCCTCGTTTTTCTCGGCCTCGTGGACGACCACTGCCAAACCGCTGGGGGCTTAGTGCAAATCATACCTTACCCACGCTCATGCTCACACACTCTACCAAATGGTCTCCCTCCTCTCACACCCCAGGCTCCTTCCTAAAGACAAAGGCATGGCTCCTTCCTCCCTCATTGGTGTATTGCTTCAGTCGTGCGCCTGGCAGGGGGGGCACCGCTCTGGTGAAGCCGTCAGTGCGTCATGAAAATGGAGATGGACAAAATCTTGTGCCTTAGCTCCCCAAATGTAACACTTCTCTCATGCAATGCATGAACTATAGATCCCAAATCCTCCCTGCATCACGGATTCAGCTCCTGCACCATTGGATGAGTCGGAGGATGAAACCGATGACGCTAGTGGGGTCGAAGAAGATGGGCAAAGTGAAGCTATGGAAGAAGACCCTGAAATAGCTGAGGACTGGTCAAGGGGTCAGTGCTGGAAGAACATTTCCAGACTGGATCTCAATACCCACATGGTTCGCATGTGGACAAAAACTTGCCAGGGTCTACTGCCATTGAAGCGAAGCAAAACAGAAAGCACCTCACAGAAAAATCGATACGTACCGTATCAAACAACCTGGCTCAGTTCGCAGGGAATGCACGAATGACCCTTCCGGCGGAGTCATGTGCGCTCTTGTTATGGGGACGTCTCCGGCATGAACAGGACACCTGGAGGCCCGAGGGTTGGCAAATGAAACACCAAGACGCAGCATCCATCCAATCCCATCCACCCGTGGACCATGTAGCTGGCAGCTCAGCATGCAAAATGTCTTGTGCCAGAGTCAAAGGGAACCTTTCACGGGCCCATCTTTTGGACGTCAAACCCAGGAAACTTGTGAGAAAACATCAGAAAATACCTTCCTTCCAAACAGGTCTTGCCATTAAGGAACGCACAGTTTTGGCCGCAAGTCGGACCCCCCTTCCAAACGGAATCTCCCGAACACATCGTTGAAGGCTCCTCCTTCCGTTTTCCCCCCCCAGCACCTCGTGGACTGGTCGGTCTCTCCGGTCCCTTTCATCTCTTCCACCTGTCGCCAAACGCACAGCTCTGAAGGCTTCCCACGGCCACACCAGGGGCACCACGACACTGGGTGCGAGCCCCATGCCAGACCCTTTGGACGTTGTTGTTGGAGCAGCTTAGGCACCAAAACAATGTATACCTGGATCTTCCAACTGTGACAAATTTCTGCCTTTTCATTTATAAAACCTGCCAAAAGGAAGAAACTTTGCATAGTTGGAAGATCCAGGTATGATGATTCCGAAAGAGCCGTTCACAGCCCGTCCCCTCCCGTGATTTGCTGGACCTCTTGGACTGATTCGAGTCCAACCCCTCCAATGTGAGATGGTTTCTAGTCCTTTGGGGCGCGAAAAACACCGGTTTCTGAAAAACCGATCGATCTTCCAATTAGCCTGGGAGTGCAGGAAAGACATGTTTTCCCGAATGCGTAGCAAAGGGTCGTTCTTAAGTGGTGGTGTGTGGGGTAAGGTCGGTTCGCCATTTTGGGCTTGGTATTGCGTGCTGCGGGAAAGGATTTGGAGAGGTGTTTCGATGGAGGGTGATCGTTGTTGCAAATACTTTTTTTGGGATGTTGGATTTGGAAGTGTTATAACAGTTATAACTCTTGCGGAGGTGGAGCGTCTTGGGAGATCTACAGTTTGGCGTGCATTTAGATTGGGGTCTGGATGGTGGTGTTTTTGGGCGCGGTGTTGGATGTCGCCGTGGCATTGGAATTTGCGTTGCAGGGTGTTGCGTGGAAGTCGTGTTTTTGGGAGAAGTCTCAGCTCAAATGATGATTTTGGTGGATGCGAGCCGGAGATGCTGTCTACAAAGTGTCGAAATCATTCCGAGCGTGTGGCAAGGTGGAAATTTTGTTGAATTCAACGAAGATATGTGGCAGGCACACGACTTCTGGCGTGTTTTGAGGTGTGAAAGTGCAATTTTCGTGGCAAACGCAGGGAATTGTGGGGGTGCGAGGTGTGATAGTTTTCGTGGCAGGCGCAGTGCTTTGTGCATGTGTGGCGGTGTGGGCGTGTGATTGTTTATTTTCGTGACAGTGCAGGGAATCGTGAGGCTGCGGCAGTGTCCTCATCGGTGGAGGACGAGTCGTCCATCGAGGAGTCCTCCTCGGACGCCGACTCCTGCTCTACTGGCAACTGGAAGCACCGCTTACAGGGTGTGAAATCTCCTTCAATGGCCGGAATTCGGTGGAAAACGCCCAAGCCGTACGGCCGGCCGCACAGCGTGCGCCACTGGGCCGGGATGTTGCGCTGCTCATCGATCCCCACTTTGTGAGCAATCCGGCTGCGATTCCAAACTACCAGGGTGCCCTCACTTGGCCGGTGCACGGCTGCTCGTAGCTGGGAGAGTGAGGCAGTGAGCTCCTCGATCTGCTGTTGTAGTCTCTGGTCCTCTGCCGCTGGGCGTGCGACAGGGGAGGGGCGGCCACGCTTGGCCGGAGGATCACGCCGGCTGGTGTCCTCTGCCGAAGGCCCCTCGTGGTGGGGGGTGAGCTGCGCCAGTGCATCACGACTGGTGCCAGTCATCGCTGGAGTGCTCGCCAGACAAGCGTCCTGCGTGTACCTCTTGACTGCAAAGGACTTCCAGCGACCGTGGGTTTGAACGAGCTCTGGGAGATGCCGGCGGCAGTACAAAATTGGGCCCCCGTCACACGGAGTACATGGCCGTGAAACCGCTGGACTTCCCTTCCGCCCTCAGTAGTCCGGGTAAGCGGACCCCAGCCTGGCGCAGCACCGTGCGAATGATGTCGATGGTCTCGGTTTTGTCGTGTACCTCACCGTCCTCAAGGTTCGGTGGTCAGTGGAGTCCCAAAACGGCGAGCCAGTCGGGAGCGGGAGCGGTGCCGGACAGCTGCGTGGTATGGGCAAAATACGTGTGTCTCGGACACGCAGGCACACTCCAAGGAGCGCGGGACACCATCTGGCCGCCGCAATCGGTTTTGCTGAATGGGAGGGTCAGGGTGGCTGTGGTGTGATGCACCTGCAGGTGCTGAACTCTGGCTGCCGCCAGTTCGACCTCGCGGAGCATCCACCATACCCCGATGACCAAGACATCTGCAGCATGGGCCACGCGACCGGAGTCGAAAGGCTCGATGTCAGTGGGGCAAATCAGGGGCCGCAGGGCCGGCAGGGGGGAAAGCTTCCTTCAAGCGGCTGGGGCCTAGGCCTCTCTCAATGCTGCGCAAGTTGCCCTTGATACATTGCCGAATGATGGGATCGATCGGGATCCCGAGCTCCCTCTGTTGGTATGCGCACACGATGGCGAAGTACTGCTTCGCCGACAGGCACCGCCGGGCCTTGAACGACGCCGATGCCCGTCGGACATTGTCCAAGGTCAGGGGAAAGCACGGCTGAGCCCATGCATCGCAGATCGTCTGCCAAGTGCGGAGCCGGCTGTCCACAGATGGCCCAGACGACGGTGCCAACATGTCCTGACCAAGGGCACGCAGGCTTGACTCCTGGTGGTGGGGCTGCGCGGCCGACAGCGCCAACTGCAGGGAAGCCCCTGCGCCATCTCGCACGGCTGGGAAGTCTCGCCTAGCGATGGACGGTGGGGGCAGAGTCGACCCGCGAGGATATTCACAAAGTTGCTGCAGCTGCCCGGGCAGGAACCCCGCCGCGACGAGCTCGTTGAATTCCCGCTTGGCCTTTGGAGGACGTCTTGTGCGAAACGCTCGTTTTGGAGGGTTGACGCGTAAATTTTCTCGTTTTGGGGGTTTGACGCGTGAAGTTTGGAGGAAATCTTGGTACGAAACGCTCGTTTTGCAGACTTGACGTGTGACTTTTGGAGGAAGCGCGAATTGTTTCTTTTGTGTAATTAGTGCCAGGAAATCGGGTGGCCAAAGCCTGTCTCTGACCTCGCTGTGCCGGTTTTGCGCGGCTACTGCGGAAAGGAAAGCGTGCCAACGGTGATACAGGATCACGAGCTTCAGAGAGCCGTCGATGAGCTTCTTCTCGGTGTAGCGGGCATAAGATATCTCTTGGAGATAGTATTCCACCGATAAGCTCTCCCTGATCCCCATGCAGTTGATGAGATCTGCCGCAAGGATTTCCTCAGCATTCGGATTCTCGAAGTCTCGGGCGATCAGCATGTCTACCGTCTCGGCATACAGTGTGCTGCTCTCGGCGAAAGCGGAGGGGGGGCGCTGCTGCTACCCATTGCGTAAGGGCCAACAAAGATCCGCGGTGCGAATTCGCTGACTGGCTGCGGAAACTTGAGAAGCTTGCCGATCGAGTCGGGAATTTGGCTATACCAGAACAACGCCTTGAATTCTTCATAGCTCAATTTGTCCCTCAATTTGACGACGTAACCCTCAGCGGTGTGGAAATAACCATTCGCCTGCCGCAGCAGCATTTCGAGCTCGACCAAGAATGCGTTGCATCGCTTGTACAGGCCCTCATCTGTGTCCCTGTCGTATCAGGCCTCGCGAGACCGTCATGGAATGGCTTGCAGTTCTCTGGGAGGATGTCCTTGAATCTCTGGATGCGCTCTACTTTGGTTCCAGAGGTGTAGAAGTCCGAGATCTGGTCGTTCTTCCATGCGGCTTTGGGGGCCCTGTTGCTAGATCCTCTGACGAAGTCCTTTGTAACTTCGATCGCTCCAGCACGGCTCCAGTTGCCCTTGCGGTTTTTCCCTTGTTGTGACATAGCTTGTTGTGACACAAGCTCTCTGAAGCCATATGCGCCGAGGTTGACGACGCCAGTGCCATCCCCAATGAGTGGGTTGATCTTGATCTCATCTACCCAATCATAGTCGTTGGGTATGGTGTTGATCTTGCCGCGCAGTGAATAGACGATAGTGTTCACCACGGTTGATGCTTGCACGAACACACCGTTGTTGGCGTCCTCGCCAACTAGGTTGGCAACCCTGAAGACATGATGCGGCCAAGTATTCCATTGCACATGCCAGAGTAGCTGCGAACCACGCGTCACTCTCTCCGATGCTTGACGTTCCATCCTCTGATTCATTCTCCATTCAGTCCAGCTGGCCGGAGAGCTACCGGTCGATGGCCAGAGTTTGTGCAGCCAAGAACACTTGCGGTTGAGGTCGGGCAGGGAACACTGGCGCATCACTGGCAAGGTGGCCTTTTCATTGACGGCATTCGAAGCCTACATCACTGTGGCGGTAGGACGGCAGTGTTCCCTGCCGGATCCCAACTGCCAGCTCAGGATGGCAGTGCTCCCCGCCGCACCTCAACCGCCAGCTCCGGACGGCAGTTTTGCCCGCCGGACCTCAACCGCGAGTCAGAAGATATGCTAGATAGAACGCCAGAAAGAATGTCAAAAAAGAGCGTCTGAAAATATGAACGGTCCTTATGTGATCTGAAAAGACATTTCCTCCACTTGGGTGGTGCCATACTACTATGCAAGGTTTCTGCCGAACATGGCTGGTTTTATAGATGAAAAGGCACACACTTTGCACAGTGGGAAGATCCAGGTATAAATACAGTATAAATTGTATCGTATAACGTATTATAAACCAGGAATCACATGTCGGGGTGGTGTTTAGTCCCATCCAGTGAGTGGATGTTCTGGGCACCCCTAACCTCCATTAAGCACCCCTTTGTGACTGCTGGAAGTGGTATTTTCATCGGATTTCTCCACCCTTTCTTCCCGCCCCGGTCACTGGGGAACGATGCGTCTATTTCCCGGCGGTCGGTCTCCAGGGTCGGGGTAGTCCAAGACACTCAACATGGGAACGACCTGGTTTTTGCAGTAAATCCTGAGTAAACCGGAGCAAGAAGCTATACTAAGGCATCGCTACGAACGGAGCAAGGAGGACGCGACTTCTTTTTTAACGGCGCTCCTGGCCTTACTACTATAGCAACAAGGGCGCTACTAAGGGCCCCTGGCATCGCTACGAACGGAGCATTCTTACTAGTTACGAACGGGGCTTCTGGCCTTACCGAACGGAGCGGCCGGGCGCTAGGCTTTTTCGACTCCACCGAGCCAATCACCGGGCGTTCCCAACCGAGCTCCCGCGCTGCACTTTCAAGCACCTGAAGCCAGTCGTTCCGTCCCAGCGCGGTCCGACGACGACGACGACGCTCGGTCGACCGCTCTGGAACAAGAACAGATCCTGGCGGCCCCCGACGGTGGCATGCCATGGTGCTTCAAGAGCCCTGCGTAGCTCTGGAAGGTGCAATCCTGACGCCCACCACGCGGGCCGCGCGGCGCCATGGGGCGGCCGCGATGGCGAACGGCACAGGCGGCGGAACAGTGGAACACGGATGGAAACGGTGAGGCGTGGCGTGCCGAGGGTTCATGCATCGCCTTGGTGCTTCACCTACAATCCACATGGAATCGAGACGCAATCCACATGCTGGAAACCACACTTGGCTTCCCTGCATTCGACCGTTTTGTTTCAAGCGCATCGGTTGCCGCAACCTTCAGGAAAAGCTTGCCTTCAGAAAGCTCACGGTGTTGATCTGTTTTGTTGTGTGAGCATCACCACTGCTCCTGTACCTTATGGTTTGTACAGCTTTTTGACCACTTCAATTTTGTTTTGTTGCCAGGCCATATGCTTTTACAGCTGAAGTCCTATGGGTCCCCAACCGAGCATGATGAGTCGAATCCGGTCGTCCTTGCTTGGTGCGGGTCCAAGGGCGGTGAGTGGACTCATGTAATCACTGCATCCCTGCATACCCCGGGAATGGTTCTAGATGGTTCTGTATGGTTCATGGCACCTTCGCCAAGTTTTTTGTGTACCACAGGGACACTGAAAAAGCATCTGACGTGAGGCGAGATATATTTTCGACTTCTGTTGAGGCGTATACGATGCTCTTTTGAATGGCATTTAGCTTAGGCTCACGACGTCTGTACAGGCTATCTTGCGAAAGGACAGTGCTGGTGCCGCAGGCCCCAAGGGCCCCAATGCTCCTTCAAGCCCCTAGTATACTACTTCTGGATACCTCTTGACTTCATACCCAAACCCCCCAAACTGTCCAACCAGCCACGGACTTCGGCTTCTGCCCGACTCGGTTTATACCCCCCCGGTCACGCCGGCGCCCTCAGTCCACACCGCCGCGACGCCTTGTCCAGGATCTGCCAACTGCTGGTGTCGCCGTGCGCTTTCACCACTGCCTCCAACGAGTCCTGCGGTGGAGGCAAACAACACCCGCCGGCGACCGAGAGTCACGATGACCCAGTGAGAGGTCCGCGACCGGAACACGACACGTTCCCGCCCATATTTTTGGGGTGGAGATGGGCCCGGATGACCACCCAGTTAATTGGGTGCCAGTGAAGCGGGCGACCATACGGCGCAAAGCAAAGTGCAAACCCATACGGCGGTGGGTGGGGAAGGGTGGGGAGCACACAGCACCCCCCCCGTTTTGGAAACCCTGTGCTCGAGGGGACCACCGCGACGCTTCGGTTGTCTTCGAAACCGACACCGCTGGGCCCCCCAAACGACGCCAACACGCGCCGCGTGGTGGTGCTGGGTCGACTCGCTGTGGTTTCGTTCGCCCGTAACCGCGCGACGCGTCCGACCTCGTGTTCGACTCAAGTGACTCCCGCGACGACCGCCGACTGGACGGAACACGGGGGTTCCGCGGTGCGCCCGCCCGGCGGAGGAAGATGACCCACGTGCTTTCTGGACCGAGTTTTTGGTTGGCACAATCGCCGTTCACGTGAAGAACCGGACCTGAGACCGGACTCACATTGCTACTCGTGGCGATGGCATCAGTATCAGCTACTAGTAGCTTCTGGCTATAGCTTCTGGCTACTTGGACCCTCCAAAGATCACATCAAATTGACATCTCTTCCGCCACCAAGTACGTGTCACCAAACACAGGGCTTGACACACCCCACGGGCCCCACACGCCTTGGGATTCGAGGTGGGCGGGACGAAGGCATAGACCTCATGTTGACCTCGTGGAGAAGCAGTCCAAAACATGACCCATGAAACTGGAGATAGAGTATTGGATCTATATATCAGGTCTACCGGTGGATGATGATGGTTCAGTTGCAGGCCTTTCTCTAAAATAGTGACATATATCATTGTTACTGACTGTTGCAGGTAATAGGACCAATAAAACCACCCCAACTGATCAACTGATCCGTAAATATGCCAGTCCTATGGATTTGTGTTTGGGGTGTTGAACGGACCTTTGATTCACCCACCAGCCGATTGAAGGCCGTCCTGGGGTGTATTTTTTGACCTGGCAAGAAACACAAGATGCTGTTTTTGGATCTATTCAGTTGTCCCAAGGCCAAGCTGCAGGAATCGCTGCAGGGACATATTCCCGGTGGCTTCTCAGCCGCCTTTGTACTTTCCTATCAGAACAACACGTCTCAAGTAGCCCAAGTTTGGCTGCAAGAGTTTGTCCTTCGAAAAATCGGAACATCGGAATTCATCCTCCAAAAAGCTTCCATCAATGGACACCGTTCCATCAATACGATAAAACAGGTGGAACCGGTGGACCTCCTGAAAGAGGCCCTGCAAAAGCAACTTCTTCAGCTTTGGCGGTCGTTTCCTCGGCAGTGTTTGTTTGGTTTGCGGGGTCCATCCCGATTTCAAGATGGATTTGCCCTCCCTTTTCCTCTCATATCATCACTAAATGTGTATCCTGAGTGAGCGCTGAACCCCAAACACGAAAGAAAGCAAACTACCCTTCGTCTTCGTGCGGCTTTTTCCTCACCACCATCAGTCACGGATTTTCGGCTTCATGTTTCAGGGGCGGGCCCGGCCCGTGTGGAAAGGGATCTGGTTGGGCAAAGCTTTCAAAGCCAGGCAGCCCATATTGGGTGCGTAATAGGGAGAACCCCTGGCCCTGGCTGGGTAGACTGGTCGAGAACTTCTGAACCGAACCCACAAACGGGCCATCGTTGCCTGGGAGGTGTCCCTAGTTAGTTTGATACATGCAAAAACGGATCACAAATTACGGCTTAATTGCATTCCTGATACCCAACTGCATTCAATGATTGCCAATTACAGTTGGCAACAGAATGATCGATGCCCCATGTATCAAGCGATTCTTGACACCAAATATTGTGTGTCAAAAAGTAAAAAATAACCCTCCAAATCCCTACGTTCCAGGTTTATCCTTGGTTGGAGGCCGCTAGTAGGTTGGAGGCCATTACAATTAGGGATTAGGATCAACTAGGTTCTTATTATCTTCATTTAGCTAAGCTTTATATTGAATTGCATCTGTCTTCGAATCGGGGCCCTGCCCTCCCCACACATCATCGATTATGACTCGGCCTGATCCAGCCACAGCCTGATACTTCTTGGACAAGGCCTCGGCCTTGGCGTCTCACTTGCGGCAGTCTCAGGTCTTGGCATAAACATGTCCGTCGGAACTCTGAACTGGTCTGAACGTTATGCCGGGCTCTTCTTTCTACCTCCTGCATTCCTGCATTCAGAAAATCCCACAAATCCGCATTGATGGACCCGACTCCACATCGCCACGCTCGACCAGCACCCGAAACACAGCGGATTTTTCACCCCATTGTTGTTCGAGCTGCCCCCGCACCCCTCACAACCAACTCTCCTGCCGTTGACCCGTTCGCCCGGTCGTTCGGTCGCCGGATTCCAACCGGTGGTGTTGGGGACACTCATCTCTTCATCTCTTTTTGAGGCGAATCGTGAATCCATGTTATCTGAGTAGAGAGTGCATGTGCCTCGATTCCACTTGGACCCTGCTAGCGCTGCGTTCGTCCCGGTAACGAGATGGTAGAGATCGAGTCCATGTGCCGACGTCGACGTCGATCTGGGGCGCCCTGTCCCGTTGGAGCTTCAGGGCCAACCTGAGGTGGTGGAAGGTCGAATGCGGTCGCTCAAACATGGATATTAATCCCAAGAAAAACAAAGAAACGAAGTCGAACAGATGTGACACCTGGTGGAGAATCGAGTACCAGTGAGGAGATGAGTGGTGAGATAAAACCAATACAGGACTGGTGGTCAGTAGGGAATGAGCCTCCAATATATAGATTCCTTTGGATTCCTTTGGATTCCAAAATCAAATGGATTCTCTCATTCCAGTCGACTAGTCTTCCTCTACCTGAACCGAGCATTCCAGGGCCGCGAACCTGCAGAGCGGCTCTGCCATCCCGTTCCGCTGGGATGTTCGATGCGTCGGGGCGTTCGTCTTTCGTAGTTCCAAAAACTCGAAGACCGAGGACGGGAAGGACAGGAGGCCTTCAGGAACTGCAGAAACCTGGCCCGGCCATTTCGGGCCAAGCATCAAACCATTGGGCAACCGCACCCTGGAGATCACATGGATATGATCTCCCCCCAAACAGAAGCACATTCCAAAGAAACAGCTGGTAGACTTGACATGATCTCTTCTCTTCCATCGACCTCTTGGTCGCCCAACACACCCCCTCGCGCCCGTTGAACACACTGAACCTGCTGGACCCCGAAAAGGAAAAACACACCGAACACCGAACACACGGAGTGCCACGAGTTCCGTCGCAGCATGCGCATCTATCGCGGCATAGATGAATCGAGCGCATTCTGCGGGCGCGCGGATCTCGCATATAGCCACTATAGCCATCTGGGCACCCCGAACACCTGGCAAGCACTCTTGAGCTTCTCCAGAAAGTCCCAAATCGTATCGCTCCCAAAGACCTGCCGATCGCTGCTGCCCCGCGCCGCGGTGCGACACAGTGGCGCACCACATCTTCGAGTGGAGACCCTCCGCAACGGACGCGGCCGTACCGACTGGGCCAGTTGGAAAAATGGCTTCATCGTGGAGTCGCACTGTTCGAACGTGCCGTGCTGTGGCTTTCGCCTCCGAGTGCTCGAGAGTCCACCGTCCCTTTCTCCTTTTCGGAGAGTCCCAAGCTCACCGTGCCGTGCAGATTGTCCAAGCTCACCCGGCCAAAGACAGGAACTAACGGTGGGGGGGGTGCGACGTAGCAGACCAGCTGCGAGTTCGTCGATCTCTCGGGATCCAAACCGGATCGCCAGCTTTTCCAAACCGAAGATAGGCATCCCACCCCCACCCGTTCGGTTCGCGTTCGAAACTCGATGCCCTGACCACTCCGAATCCTTGCACGGGATCCTTGAGATGTTTCGTTCTCGCGCTGGGAAAAAAAAGGCCCTAAAAGGAAAGACCAAGTCTGCGTCCAAAATGGGCCAGCGCCCCGAGGTTAAGACATGAAACACGAAACCCAGTCATTCTTTTCCGCTCTTAAGAACCAGGGAATCCAAATGTGCATTTTTTTTTTTGTTCAAACACGTTCGCACAAAAAATCTGTGCATCCGGCCTTTTTTGTCAAATGGACAAATTTTCTGGAATTCCTCCGAATATTGGGTTTGATGGGGTTTTATCAATAATTGTTTGGGTTTTTGTCGATAAAATGTTGATAAAGTTTGGTATTGTTTTTCTGTCCATACGGCTAAATACGCTAATTCGTTAATTAAAATGTCCATACGATAAATTCTGTCCAAATACGGCCTTCGCACAAGAAAAAGTGTTCATACGCCTTTCCAGGAAGCTATTCGGTTGGAGGCCATCGCTATTCGGTTGGAGGCCATTGCTATTAGGTTGGAGGCCATCGCTTTTAGGTCGGAGGCCATTACTATTAGGAACAAGAAACGATTAGGTTGGAGGCAGGTCATGTCTCGGTCTGTGAGCCTTGATCTCGTGGCCCGCGCCGTCCTCGAAGCGCGAGTGACCTCGCGAACGAAGAGCCGGCTGCAGAGCCGGGTGGACAGCCTGGAAAGCCAGTCCCAACAAGAAAGAGAACCGTTTTTCCCAGTGCATCCCAGGCAAACCACTATAGGTTCTGATGCTTTGGTCGTCGAACTGGAACCACTGGGACTCCCAGCGACATCGTGGGAACTGCATGGATGCCCTGGGTTTGTGATGTAAAGGAATCTCAAGTATATCAAAAACACACTTTCTTTCTGGTTGGGACCGGGTTTCCAGATGGTCCTTGTGCACGCGGTCACGGTTGAGCAATCGCCGCTCTTCGATGCACATGCAGTGGGTAGGCCAAGGAACAATCGCCGTTCCAACCCGGGAAAAAAAAACAACACCTTTATATAGTCGTATATGAATATGAACACATACACTCCTCGGAACGTCCTCATGGTTATGTGGAGGTCCTGACCCCGAAAGGAAGACCATGGTGCCATCCACAGACCAAACAGGTGGTGCCATCCACTTCCATGATCTTCCATGTTAGTTCTAGGGAACACATATTTAATATGAAAAAAATGGTTTGGAGAGACGCACTTCCCCTCACTCCCCTCACTCCCCCAAGGCGTCACTGACTTGTCTCACCCACTGACCACCGAGGTCGGGGCAAAACGACATGCTGTAATTCTCTTTGAACTAAGCTTGGACCTGGAGATACTTCAGGAACCTGGAAAAATTCAACATATTCACCATAATTAATGGTAATTTAACTATAGGGAAAATAGAACATCCCCTTAAGCAAAACCAGGTAAGGTTCACGTGACCGTGCACTTTTTGTGGAACTTCAAGATCCAATTTTACAATTCGCGGTAGCCGAGAGGTCGAGGCCTGTGGCCACAAGAACCGCATTACCAATAGACATGCAAATTGGCACCTCCATGTGGGCAATAACTTCAAGATCAAAGAACCACGCAAAAATGGTTCCGCCCAACCCTGGCAACTGCACCTCCAACGGCCAAACCCTGGCCATCTCCAAAGAGCACCGGCCTGGTACGCTCGGTCGGCGTGTTCCAGCCGAGTTGGCAATGGAAACATCGTGAAACATGGAGACGACGCACATGGTGTCGCTTCATGAAACCATCTGAAGGCTTGGCTGAAATGGATATATTGCCCCTTAGACGGTCCCCATAATTCATTAATGTCCCCTCTGATCATGTACAAAAAATACATATTTTCGTCATATGAGGATAAGTGAGAAGTAGTCACGCGATGCGGGAACTTCGCGGTGATGGAGTTTTCTGTGTCCAGCACACGCACACGAACGAGTGTGCACGATGGAATTCAAAAGCATGACACTTGGGCAAAGTGCATCGACTCTCTCAGCCTTGATTTTCTCTTGTAGACGTCTATGTTCATATCTAAATGTTCATAATGTAGACTCTTAATTAATGAACATCTCTTTTTCCTGGAAAAAACACACGGCAAACAGGCTACCAGAATTTAGCATGCTGTGAGGCAGTTCACAAGATTCCTGTTGTTTGACTTTCTGATTGAATAGATCTGTTCTATTCTTACCTCTGTTTCATCTTCTTAGTGTTTCTTATTCTTGTGATTCTTGGATTGCTCTTCTGTTTGCTATTTGTGTGCTCTGTTTCTTGCTTTTGTTTTGCATGTTGTTTTGCATTTGCTTTGCTTTTCTTCAAAGTGGCTAGTTTTGTTTGCTTTTCATGCATGCACTTTGTCTGCACTTGTTTTTAGCACTTTTTTTGTTTCACACACTCCCATAGAGATTGGCTAACTGGAAGACATAATTGTAGACATCTATGTTCATATCGTTCATAATGTCGACTCTTGATTATTAACCCCCCCCTATGAAGAAGGTGCTTCAATCCAACATGGGGTGGGCTTATAAAAAACTTGCACATTCAACGCTGCCAGGTCATGTAGTAGATATCCAATCTCTAATTGGTATTATAGATATCATTGATCATCTAATCTAATCTCATCTAATCGACTAGATTAAGGTATCTGATATCATCTAATCACAACATCCAACTCTGCCAACGGTGATCCACGTCGTCCAAAAACACGGTGCCAGGTTCACAAGTACTGCGCCGCGGTCCACTCCTAAGCGAGGTGAGTGGACGAACCAAACGAACGCGAATGGACGAGCGGCCTGGCATCACGATCGGACGCTCCTGGCATCACGACTCGAGTCCGGAGCGTTCGGACGCTACTAGCAGCCACACATGGAACACTAGGAGCTAGTAGAAATGCCCTCTATAGCTAGTAGCGATGCGGCGATGCCCTTTGTTACTACGAGCGGCCTCCAAGCGCATTCCTGCCACTGAAAGCAAGGGCCTTCCTGAAAGCAGGGTCATCCGGTCGACCACTTGCAAGTTTGGGACCGCCAGACTCGTGTTCTATAGTACACGTCCAGGGAACCAACACCCGTGTGGATGGATGCATCAATGAGGTGTGGTGAGTCCTTCGGTCCTTTTCTCTTGCAGTTTGCGAACGTCCAATGTCCAGGATGCGAATGTCCCCGTTGTCTGGACATGGCTCGAAATAGACACTCGGAGGATGCGAACCATGTCCTTGGTTTAACAGTCCTTATATCGAAGAACCATTGTTTTCTCATACCAAACCAGATCAACCATTGTAAATACTTAAACATGATCTTGGGCTTCCAGGGTATACAGGATGCAACTAATTGACGAGAAACCCACATCAAGAGAGACCTGCCAGGAGTCAAGTCCTGGTCTTTGCTTTTTTGAAAGCTAGCTTTTCCTACAGGTTCCGTATAAATCCCCCGCCCTGTGAAGCCTTTTGACTCTTTGGATGATTGTTTTCCCGGTTCCTTCATCTTAATCCAAGCTGGGCACTGCAACCTTCACCTCATCCTTCACCTCACCTCCGCCCTTGAAGGAATGTGCTCCCCTCCCCCCCCCAGTTTGGGGGGCGTATTGCGACCGACCGTCATGGTCGTATTGGTATACAGTCGAGCCAGGCGCCCCCGACCACCATGACGTCCAAGGTCAAGGCCCCCAAGGCGTCCAATGCGAGCTGCGAACGAGGCGAGGCAGAAACGACCAAGAGCCGCGAGGCCCGCGTCGCAGGGAAATCGGTGGTTTTGGGGGAAGGCTCCAACGTCAAAAAAAGAGGATGCGTCCAACGTGTGAGGGGTGGTGTCCAACACAAAAGAGAGTTCAGTGTTGTTTTTCTAAATATAAAACCATGGTTCCATGCGAAGCTGCACGGCAGTCGTGCGATCTTCATCGGGTCAGTGGCTGGGACGGAGACCGTCACGTTCTTCGTCCGACCGCTTCGCTATGCTTCGCTTCTGAACTGTGGGGAGTCCACCGCCGCTCTCATGTCGCGCCGCAGCCGACGTGCCGTGCCGATATATCGGATCACCCAGTTTGACGTGCTTCCGTTGGCAAAAAGAAAAACATCATGTTCACTTAGCTTCGACACTTCTCAAGAAAGAACTCTATTGAGTATATGTACATCCTACTTCCAGGACAACGATAATTAGTAGTGCCCAACACTCAGGTTGGACTGGTGAGATGAGAAGTAGGACTGAAGAGAAGGGAATCCCTTGTGGCCAACTACGCTCTGGTCTTGCTACTCCTGGTTGATCACCCATGGGGATATACAAGGATGGTCAATCAACCAAATGACAGGGATTCTTAATTGCCATTCCAAGCTACGGGCCCCCGGCATCGTTATGAACGGAGCGTTCGGACGCTACGAACGGGGCACTACTATGGGATGGAAGTCCCGTATATACCCATCTTTCGAGTATTCACGGCCGGCCGCTGGTGGTTAGCCAGACATCCCCAAAGTTCTGATTGCAACATCCACAAGTTAGCCGGCAAGATAGCCTCGTCCTGTGCCAAACCCCAGAAACGCGAAGTTGATTTCGAACTATCTCCAACGATCCCCAGCGGAAGTCGACGACCAGACCATGCTCAAGTTCGATCTCTGACCCAAGAGAAGTAGGAGAGTCGATTGGATACCCTTGAAGTTCGAGTGTTCAAACTGTCATCTTCGGACTTCCAGGGGCTTTTGTACCCTGGAAGCCAGCGCTCTTGCTGCCTTTGGGCTTGTTCAGACACCGCACGACTGACGTGGACACCGTGCGACAGGGACGGGTGACCGACTTCCATGTGCACCTCCCTGGAAGGGTCGAATGGGGGGGGACCAGTCTACGCCAGGGCTGGCTGCCACTCTGTGGCGTCCCAACTGCGACAGAACACGACACCGTCTGAGTTTCTAACATAGGAGTGCCGTCGTAGAGGTTCACTGAGTTCCGGATGCGCTAAAATGCAAGAGATGAACCTGAGCGGAATCGGACATTTTGTGATGGAAACACATAGAAACCAACTCCAAAACACACATGCTGGTAGAAATAGACGCGGGACCACAGAAACCCTCACCACTGGTTGATGGCAATTTCAACCACACCAAAAGGAAAAGGACACCTAACCATCTGACACCGGACTCCTTTTGCGCAGAGGGAACTCCGCTGACCCTGAAGGCCCTGGGATGAGAAGGGCGGGCTTAGCTGGTACAGGGGGAATTGGATGTAACTTTTGTGTCTTTTTGTGTCTTCCCACTCCATCTTCAGCTGGTGGGTTGACATCTGTTCATTTTTTTAAACCCATGGTCCATGTTGGACATGCCATCTCTAATCCCAAACCGGCAAATGGATGGACTGAACATGGGCATCTCAGTGGCTGTAGGTGAACTTGACCAGGCACGGTTTTAACCCAATCCATGCACATCCTCATGTCGAACTGCCGGAGACGGTTGCATTCACCTCATGTAGACTGCCCTGCCCTTATACCATGTAGACTGTCGATTTACAAAGACACCCCCCATTCGGATTGTAGAGCCTCTTCATAGTTTCTCTTCATCAACAGTCTACATTACACCACCCTTTCACCCCCACTCTCCTGTAACCCTCCCTTCCTTCGTGGTCCGAGTGGCTCTTCTTTGGTCAACACATGAAGCGTGGCATCCGAATCCATCTCCACCTGGCACGGTCTCGACAGGCCCGACCGGTGCACCAACGAACCACCGGGCCGACGGAACCGGCCATGGATCGGACAATAACGGCCGCGACGAACGTAACAAGTGGTGCTTTCAGTCCAAGACGAGTGGTGCCTTTCAGTCGAGAAAGGTGAGTGCCAAGAAGAAACTGTGAAGATGCATTCCGCATCACGCGATTGTCCCACACACATGCAATCTCACGCGATTTTCCCTTCTCCAATATCTCGACTTTCAAGTAACATCTTGAAGAACCCAAAATGTCATGTACCATGGAGCTCTGTCTTTCGAACCTTTTGTGGTCCACAGGAGGGTCTTCAACAGTGAGAGCTGCAGCAGCATGTGCCACAAATGAAGCGAGCGCTTCAACAGCAAGCGCTGTCAGCACCCGCCACACACCACGGGTGATGGTTTCAACGAGAACGAAACGATGTCAGTGCCACCTGAAGGTTGAACATAAACTCCAAAACGACCTAGACCATTGTGTGCTGCAGATTGCTGCAGCACTCCGTACCCTCACATTCAAACTCAGCAAAGGAATGTTACTTGAAGGCCTGAAGAGGTTCTACGAGTTTCGAGGTCTTACAAAGGAGGGTACTCTTTTGTGCATCTTAAGAAATCTATCTATCTCTATCTATATCTGTATCTATACCTATATCTATCTATCTAAATATCTATCTATCTATCTATCTCTATCTATCTGTCTATCTATCTATCTATGTCTATCTATCTCTATCTCTCTATCTATCTATCTATCTATCTATCTACCTATCTCTATCTATCTATCTATCCCTGCGGACCCGGGAGACTGGTTTAACTAGTGCGCGTCGACATGGACTGCTGAACCTGCCTAACTCTGCCCACGAGCTCTCCGAGCACTTTTTTCTTTTACCATCGCGCCGATCACCGCTTCCACACCGCCTCCATGTCGATCCTGCAACGTATATGACTCCAAGCTGTTAACGCGTTTATCAGAAACACCAAATTTATCTTCCAAAATCGTTAACATATTCTTGCATGGAGCTTGTCTCAAAAGCACGCCGCTGCTGTCCATTTCGACAAGCATGCCCAATGCCGCGTGTTGTGCCCTTGGCTGTACAATTGCCAAATGATCACAAGTCCAAAGACCTATCACCTATGACTGCAGGTCTAGACATGAGACCCAGGCAGGAAGCACTTCAATTCATCGTCATTTGACATGACCTGTCGATTTGGCAAGCTCCTGAGAAGTCAGCTGCGTGACCAGAAAACATGTTGGTGCATTTATAGTTCTTCAAGCGCTCAATGTTTGCCTCTTTGACCGCCTCTCGCCAAAAACTCACACACAATCAACGTCCCAACAACGTGTGTTCCACCTCGGCTCTTTGCCGGCTTTTCGGCCAGCGAGAAGGCGTCAGGTCATCCTTCTTGCGCTTTGGTGCTTTGGACAGCACCGGTGTGCAACCAGTACCGCTGCCGGTACCAAACTCCTGGCTCACATCCGGATCCAGAATTGAGCGCGATTATATATACTAAGTCGTGCCTTTCGAGCCTTAATATTATTTGCCATATAGGCCATGCGCTTATTGTGTGATGTAGCATGATAAGTTTCTATACTGTTCAGTTGTGTCCCCAAAATGAAAGCAGTTGCGCACTCGGCTCTTTTCGCTCGACAAGGCCAGTCGCGGCCAACGTAACGATGCCAGCGCCTGCGGTTGATTTGAAAGAATGAGCCGTGTGCTGCCTGTATGCTTGAGCATAACATAGTCAGCGCGAAACTTGCTTTGCCGACCTAGCCAACCTACAAGACCATGGCAAACCGAAGACCCAAGTCTTCGAACCTCCAGCGCTGCCTGAAGCGCCATCTCCTTTGGCCTGAGAAAAAATACACGCCATGTGCTAGTTAATGCGCTGTTCGAGTTTCTCCTCAGTCACATGTACATGCAAGTGTACTAGCTAGTAGATCGGCTGGTGGAAGAAGTTGGGCGCTTCTAATTGGATCCGACTTGCCTGCATTGGGTTCTCCGGCTTCTTTGCAGCCTCCCAAATTTAATATATCTAGATTGATAGAACTTGATACCACGACCTGTGCGCGTGTTGATGACGCTTGCCCCCCTAGCGTCTACATCAGATCCTTCTTCTTCGAACAGCAACTTCTTTCTGATATCCTGATCCTCTTCGAACAATTCCCTCATCTCTGGATTCTGATCAGGCTCGTCCATATTAGCTAGATCTGGAGCCTTTCTTTTCCTACCCCTGCCCCTCCCTTTACCCCTTCCTCTGCCACGACCCCGGGCAGACAAATCCTCAGTCTTTCTGCGCTCAGAGTCCCGTGCAGCTTTTCTCATCGATTGCCAAAACAAAATAACGAGCACATGATCATGAGGGGGGACGTCGACGGTCAATTTCTTGTCGATCGATATACACTGTGGTTATCGGTGAGATGGTGCAATTAAATTTCTTGCAAGTCACCTTCAAAAGATCCTCTGTGCTGGAATTGCTCCTCTCCAGCCCCAATCCTCTCACACACCTCTTGAGCTGCATCTTCCAACGATCTCGGAAGCGCCGCTGGCAAATCCATCGGCGGCCGCATCTCCTTCAGAGAGCTACCTTCAGAAGGCCGCAAGAAGCCAGCGTCGAGTTGCATGGCTATATAGGCCTACATGAACAAGATCTGGTGGGATGGGGTTTACCGGTGGCCAAAAATTAAGCGAAACGTGATTACGTCATGTCCTCGGCAGCTGTCACAGCAATGCCGGGCTCATCCTTAATTTCTGCTTCCTCGTCATGAAACAAAGCCAGAAGACGGCTTGCCACATGCAATGGCAGGGCCCGAAACAGGTTGCGCAGTGGCTTCCGCAACGCGCTCCACAATCGGATCGGATTCCAGCTCTTCTTCTTCTGGGCCCTCATCCGTGCCAGAGTCATCGGAGAGATCATCATCGTCTTTGTCAGCTAGTTCTGGTAGATCTTCCCCTAGGCTTGCAAAGAACGTGGTATAGCATGGCACAGCATGGAAACAACACGAGCATGACGGATATATCGACTAGAGAACCACATGCACACACACACACACCGATGTATAATATAACGAGTACTACAAATATGAGGTCTTTGACTTGGGGCCTGCAGCCACGGCGTCATCAGGCACCGATGGATTTGCATCCGAGGGATCAGCTTGCTCCTAGCTTTTACCGCGTGCCACAAAATTTGTACAATTAAAAATGCCTCCGCTGTATAGCCATGGCCTCCACCCTAGTAGCTGCTCGAGGTTTCTGGCTGTGGCCAGGACATCAAGAACTCTTTGCGCCCAGATCCGTCAACGTCAAGCGATTAGTGCGAAACGTTTTTTGCTTCCACTCGAGCATGGAGGGGTTGATTGTAGATATCGATGGCTTGATTTTGGACCTGGGTGGTGATCATTGTACATGGGCCTCCACCCTACCCTCCACCCTAGTACCAGCAATGGCCTCAACAGGCCTCAACCTACTAGCGATCGCCTCCATCATAGTACGAGCAACGGCCTCCAACCTGTCCCCTCCTCGAAAGTCGCCAGCACCGACTTAAGGCCTCTCCAGTCGTTTGGAGCCCTTCGCGTTCCTGGCCAGGTGCGAAGATTGAAGCAACACGGAGGAGATGGAATGGTCAGGTGGTGTTGGTCTGGATGCATGGGTCACAGGGTGGAACACAGACCATTTGTCCGGGTTCATTTTTTTGGGGAGGGATGATCCGTAATATAAGGTTGCAGGGATCTGTCTTTTTTAAGGGATAGCCATTGCATGAGTAGCCGTCCAAACCGGTAGCTTGAAATGCAAGTCCGGAAAGCCCCCCTCAGGAGTACTCGTTCAGGTGCATTGTCGACGCTGGTTTTTGCGGGTGGATTAAGATCTTCTATGGCCCAACCCAAACCAAGAGCCCCCCCAACCGGGCCCCAACCCAAGAGCCTCCCCGAGATCTTGTATCGCCGGACCACATAGCTGCGCATGGCTCCTTCCTTTAAAGGGGCAACCAAGCAGGTTGACCAAAAACTGAAAGGGATCTCCCTGTTCGGTCCGCTCAGAAATTGGGGCTCCACATAAAAGAAATACTATATAGGATCGCATCGAATCGATGTATAATATACCCTGGATACACGCAGGTGAAGTCGTTCGTCGCTGGGCATCGATGGGCATCGATGGGGGTACGTTCGACGAGCCATGTTTAAAATCATATAGAACTCCGGATCTGATATGGAATCTAAATACCGGGTCCATTCCGATGTCGCTCACCGCTGGGCTTCGATGGGCGTCGATCGATGGGTGTCGATGGGGGTCAACAGGCCATGAAAGGAAATTTAGGCCACGCAAGCACGAGCCCTTCAATTAATCTTTTGGGACCTATATCCTGCAAAACCAGCAATAGGTCAAGGATATCAGGTTTAACTTGGTCCTTGGACTTGTATACGGGGATCGATTAGGGGACAAAACCCTGGCCTGCAAGTCAGCTGGGGCAGCCAAGTGCTCTTCTCGCCAAAGCAGCCTCGGATCACAAACGATGCAGGACTGGATCCAGGGAACAACGAGCGCCGGTGCCCAGCTGGATGGGATCAGGGTATCAAATTTGACCCATACCCGAGAGTTCAGTTTAAGCACCGTTAGCCGATCGATCGATCGTTTTCTATTCTGATTTTTTTAAGGATAAAGAAGGAATAAAGAGAGACAGGTTTTGAAAGGGCACGTTAACAGAGAGCTGGCCAAAGAAGCATAAGTGGTGTCATGGGACGCAGTCATCCGAACTCTGCCCGTCCTCTTGTCCTCTTCTTGTCACCCCCCTTGTCCTGCAAAACATCACGACGCTGGCCAACGAAGATGTCACATCACGTCTGACCTGTTCACCCTCGCTCCCTCCTTTAAAGGCCTAATTGCATTCTAGCGCCGGTGGATCGCCTTTCAGTTCTGCAAGTCAAGGTCTAACTGCTCGTAAGGTCAAGGGCTACTGCGAATGCTCGATCCGTTGAGCTCTATATGCATGTCATCTCGGTGTGCCATGTGATCCCTTCAGGGCAGCGCTTGTTGTCTCGTCCTCGTGGTGCTTGCAGTTGTCCTGCTGTTGTCCTCGGCTGTGCCAGTGAACCCCATGCCTTTTTTCACATTCGGTTCATTTTGTCCTGCTGTTGTCCTCCAGCCCTGCTGGCCAGCATGGTGTCCTCCTCTTGTTTTGTGGTGATGGCAGTCCTGCTGTTGTCCTTGGCCATGGGTGAAGAATGGTGAACAGAACCCAGATGGTGGGGATCACTCGAATTTAAAGGTGAGACGACTGATCTTGTAGGACTGGACTTCGGTTCCGTGTGTGAGTACCATCTGCACTGCAAGATCGTTTCAGAAGCTTGTTTGGAACGCCCTGGCCGCGAGAAGGTGGTCGAGATGTTGCAGGTCTTGCTCCACCCCAGGCAGCAGACATGATGCGCGCAATAGTGGATCCAGACAATCAGGTCGTCAACCAAGCCTGAAGAACTTCCACCATGGTGTCTCGGGGCTTCGAGTCCGGCGTGGCGCAAAATCGATCGATCGGAATCGAAGCTGCAGGGTTTATAGGATAGGCCTAGACCTTGCAATATTGGCCTTGTGCGCGGTCATGCATGGTCCACCTGCGACATGAAGCTCCTAGGCTATTGGTCTTTGATGCATGGTTCTTGTCCCGAAACGTGTCTGGCCACATGCTTGAGCACACTGATGTTGTCCTCTGGGCCAGGTCATGACATGTACGTGTATACGGTCGACATCGAGGTCGTGTTCGATTCGGCGACGACCCATGGGCACTAATCACGCCAGAGGGCACCTTCATCCTCGTCATAGGCAACGCGGTTCTGATAGGTGGTGGCACATGACCCACCCCTGGTTTCAATTAGGTATGGCCAAAATAGCTAGGCAATTGAAAGTGACAAAATTGCTAGATGCATAGCCTAGAATCTCTTTCGAAGAGCACGCTTCATAGTGCTTCATGTCCAGATCCCATCGCCGTGTCCATCGAGCGACGACTGTGGTGAGGAAAAAAGGGATCATGCATGTCCCTGTGGATGTACGCTAGTGGCTTTTAGATGCTGTGTTGGTGCCAGATGTCCTGATCCTGTGCCCCTAGATGGTTGGTTTCCTGCTAGAGTCCTTGGTTGAGCTCTTGTGGGGTCTCCACGATGGAAGTATCCACACCGTGTCAACAGGTCCCCCAACACTTGCTCAGTATTTTTTTGGTCGCCACTTTCTGGGAAGATGGTTCTGTCCCCCACATACCTTCGGAGCAAGCATTTTGGGTCCACAGGGAGGGAAGTGTCTAGACAAGATCTCTTTCGGGCATGGTATCATGAGTACTTTTGCAGGTGCATATGTTGATCGTACCTGTACCCGCCTGAACCCCTCCACTGCAAGGAAGGGCCGATCCGACGTTTCCGGGCATGGTTTTCAGGTGATCCCAACCCTGAATCCCTGTGAACCAAATGGTTGATATATAATAGGTCTACTTAGAGGTGCTTGTAGACAAGTAAAGTACGATCTTTTAAAGTCAAGTACGTTCATATGAATGAATTGCAAACGAACAAGTTTAACGAGTACTTTGGTTCACAGGGTATCTATCTATCTATTATCTATCTATCTATTCTATCTATCTATCTCCATCTCTCTCTATTATCTCTCTCTCTATTATCTCTATCTCTCTATAATTCATTTTACCAATTCGCTGGCGCCGTGGGCTTCGCATTGTCCTTCGCTTCAGCTTTCAATTCCGCCCTCTTTCGCTGCCTCAGTGAGTGGACCCAGGCCGTTCTCCAAGCGTATGGCGCAGGAGGATTCTTCCCCATCACCTGAGTGGGTCGGATTCGAACGACGCAGGTCGGACAGTCCGGCGGGCTACTGCCCTGTTCACGCGCTTCGTGCGCGCCGTGGACGGTCCGCAAGCCGCGCGGTCTTTGACGGTCTTCTTCCCCCCATGTGGTCCGAGGGAAATGGCTGGCCACGTAGTAGAAGGCGCAGTGGGTTTCAACCCATTTGTGTTTGCCCGGGAGGGTCCTAGGAGGGTCCTCCATGGTGCCCTGGCGTTCCTTCCTGCTTTGGAAATTCCTGCACCATTGATTTAAGAGTGCTTTATTCAAGAACTCCGACCCTAAATGAGGGCTCCAGTCGTGCCTAGAGGGACCTAGAAGCTGTTTGGGGTGTGTGAGCCAGAGTCCAACGCACCTGAGTGAGGAGCTATAGCTGTCACCAGGAGCCACGCGGAGGACTTGACCCTCCCAAAACCAGGTCCACCAAGTCCACCGAACTTGCGACTTCGGAGGACTCCGCTGGTCCCTCTTCCTCGTGACCCGCGACGAAGCGCCCTGCGCAAGCGCCCCGGTCGACACGGTCGGGACGATCCTTCGGGTGCCGCTGGGGCTCGGGCGCAGGAAGCGGAGCCAAAGGATCTTCGAAAGGTCCGGGAAGGGGTCCGTGAGCTGCCTCGGTGAAAGGGGACCGAGTGGGACCAGCTGGGAAGTTGGACTGATCAGCTGAGCGAGCGAAAGGCGTGAATGTGAATGTGAAGCTCGTACTTTCTCTTCCGCCCGAAAAGCAGGTCGTGACATGTGATGAGAGTTCAGTCTAAGAAGGGACAAGTCCGAACAATGTGAAATTCCTGTCTCAAAATGTGGGTGGTCTTTGTTCAGCACTTCGACCATGCCTCATGATTTGTCTTATATGATCGAGGATCACGGAACGCGTGCGGTCCGATTCGTCTGCGATAAATTTCCTAATATAGATTCATCTGGAATCTTATCCCATCCAAACTAAATGCTGTCATGGGACAACAACCTATCAGTCCTTGTAAAATCAAGTGGTAAGACAACTGAATACTATATTAGTAGCAGTATGTAGCAGTACTTTTGGGGAACTCTTTCCCTGACAGCGACCTGATCTCCATGTCTGGTTCGCCGAAAATGGCCCAACGGACCAGGCCAACGGCGCCGGAAAATTCGTGGTGGTGCCCACCATTCAGCCGCATGGTGAGAAAACACTCGTTTTCTCCAATGAGTCCCAAGACGATGGACATCCGTTTTAGAAGGAGAAACACATCGCCCGTACCGCCCCCCTTTCCGACCTGCTGGCAGCTTTGACAGGAAAACCAGCTCTTTGTGTCCCACAAAGCTCAGAACTCCCAAACCAGGGCGCTTCTGCCTGCTCCAAAGCGATTGGTTCAACGGCAAGTGTATACTTGATCATATGTGATCAAAACATACACCTGACACCAATGCATGTCCAGGTTTACAAAAGACGGCGCTTCTTAATGCTGCCTCTTTGCCTGCAATTTTGACGTCATCGTCGCAGCATCTCGAAGAAGAAATCCGACAAAGCCACCCGGTATGTCATCGGCCCCGCCGGTGCGTTGCACTGGGTGTCGGGCAACGTCTCCAGCCCTTGGAGCCGCAAGCGACGGCCACCTGGCGGCACGCCGCGATGAAGGACGGCCTTCTGAAAGACATGGGTGGAGAGACAGTTGTCTCATTGCTATAATCGGTGGTTTTTTTATTTTATATGGTGTTTTATGGTGTTAGTGTTTTAATATAACAATGAAGTTGCTTACCCTACGCAACCAAACCCTATAAATTTGTCGGGTCTCAATCGGAACCTCGAAAAATTCTTGTGAAATCAAAAATACCTCAGGTTTGTTCTTAAAACCTCAGGTCTTGTTTTTCTAAACCGTGCTAAACCCATATTAAACCCCGTACTAAACCCATATTTAATCCGTACATACCCGTACTAAACCCGTACTTTAGTATTGGTTTGGAAACCTGGGGTTTCCTTCAGAAACCCTAGTTTTTTCCATCGACCCTACAATTTTTTTGGGTTTGGGTGCGTAGGGTATATAGTTGCTTTTAGTGGCATGATCATTTTGAAATGCAGATGGTTTCGGCAAGGCATTTTCCCTTTGGACAAGTGGTGGTTGCTCAGGAGCAGAGAATCCTCCACTAGCACTGGCCACAAAGTACCACGTTGTCTATTTTCCAACCACACAGAGCTCCTGGTGAGTTGCACAGGAAGACCCAAGACAAGGACAAATCTCCAAACCGCAGTACACAAAGGAGAGGTCAACTGCACCGTCATCTGCCTGCACCCCGAACTTCGAACCAGGGCAATACATGCTTGGCCTTTGCCTCCAGGAACCGGGAATAACATCGACGGAAATCATTCCACAAAACTGCCGGGTCTCTAAACCTCCACCATCTTGGCCGCCAAGGCCATAAAAGGACCCCACACACAAAAAAAAAAACTTTTCGATTTCATCCCGAAAACCCCTCCCAATCCCCACCCCGGTCAGGTGTCTTGCTGCCCGCGTGTCGTTCTCCGCCCGCTCGCGGTGTCATTTCGTCGCACCATCGGAGAGCTGCCGCTCGAGGACCATGGAGAGCTGAGGGGTGACGTCCAAATACTGCCGGCCTCACGCAAGCGATCGGAGCCTCTAGGCATGTCTACGAACGGTGAGCGGAAGGGAGGATGCTACGAAGGTCGCGCTCCTGGCCATACTATAGTAGCAAGGACGCTACTAAGAACAAGGGCATCGCTACTGGTAACAAGGGCATTGCTATTAGTAGCTCATTTGCTATATAATAGTAACTTAAGAAGCTACTAGGAACAAAGCGTTGCGCTCCCGCGCGCCGCGGAGCGAGAGTGCGATGACCGGTCAGCGAATGAGTGCGTTTGGTCGCAGCGCGATCGCACAGCGCGGAGCCCTTTTCGGCGGCGAGGTCGTGAGTCCAAAACGAGCTCTGTTGACCCGGAGCCCAGGTTGATCTGACCAAGTCTTGTAGTCTATTCTGTTCCTTTTCGGTTTTGACCCAAGGTCCTTGGGTTTTGACCCAGGGGCCAGATACTAGTACATAGCTGGTGCTGGTGTAGGAAGGTTGCTTTTCGGACACAACAAAAGCTGTGTGAAAGGTGGAGCTCCCATCAAGCTGGCAGCTAACCTGGCAAAAACAAAAACAAATGGATCCAGGAACGTTTCTGCAGACAGCTGCTAGATGTTCGACCACTTCTGCAAACGGTCTTCGGAAGACGCAGAAAGACATGTTTTTGACCTCCAGACCTGGACCTCCTCCATTAGTTAAGGAAACCCTTAGACAAAGGAAACCTTCTTTTCTGACCCTTCTGTTTTTGGTGGGGTGCTGTGTTTCTCCTCAAATCGCCAAATCTAGCTCCCAAACAGGTGAGGCCAACAGCGAGCTGTTGAGTTGTTGCAATATGCTGTCTGCATCTACATGGATGAGGACAATGACCACGACCTCTATAACATCGCCGCGGTGTTCCACCACAAGGGTCGCTGTGGCCAAATGGATGTGGGTCAGGTCAGGTTTGCGAAAACCCACGCCTTCAAAGACCATACCCAGAACTTCCCAATGACTCATTTTACTCCACCTGTGAGTCATTCTCCGCCACTACCATTTTCCAAAATGAGAGATTTGCGACTCTGAGGGGATAACTAAACAAAGCATTTACCTGAAACTGGATCAGCACTTTCTTCCAAAGTGGTCGACCTCCCTCAATGGCCGCATTTCGCGCTTTAGGAGGGAAAAGCACACTCACAACAGAGATTTCAGACCTGACAGGCTTCCAACTCTGCTGCACATCACGTGAAGGGGCCTTGCATGAGCCTACTGTTGGGCCTTATATGGCGGTTTTTCACAGGGGAGCCAGGGTGGTTTTTGTTCGACCGGAACACATGACCAGACATCGTCAACCTACCGTAGCCAGGGGCCGCGCCGGACTCGTCGCAGTAGCGCCGCCAGCCGGGCTGCTGCGGGGGCACCTCCTCGGTAGGAGCTGGAAGGAGGCCATTGCTAGTAGGTTGGAGGCCATCGCTACTAGTAACGAGTGCATATATATATATATATGGTTTGAGCATCGGCCACTTTCTTTTCTTCACTGCCAAAGCAAAGGCTTGTTCAGGCACATGGGACTTCAAAGAGGCTCTGATTCCATCAACCCAGTGCCCAGAACATCTCGTATAGTACTGCAACATGTTCTGCCTTTTCATCTATAAAGCCAGCGAAGTTCGGCAGATGATTTGCATAATTGGAAGATCCAGATATACAAATACACACATACACGCACCTACATTGACCTACCTTGGATGACTATTTTCCTCTACGAACAGGTGATGAACTCCATTTCCATGTTCGTCGAAGAGGAGCCTCCCTCTCACGAACATGGGTTTAAGTTTAAGGGTAGCCGCCTCTGATTGATGTTGGATCCAAGCTGGCAGGGTAACAAACACTGAAAAAAATAAAGGTGTCTGGTGTTTGCTGTTGGGCTGACGCAACAACCTTTTGGACATCGTTTGAACTTTCAACTGCACGTTTTCAATTTGTTCCTTGGTGAGTACACCTTCCTGCAACTGGTGGTCCAAAAACCCAACAAGTGGTCGGCCTGATAAACCTCATCAAGGCATTCCAAGCGTGGTGATCTTGTCGGAAGCTTCCCTTTGGAACAGAAACTGGTTTCTATTTTCTAAGTAGAGTTTGCTCTTTACTCGGTCTTTTAAAATCAAGAGATGGTAGAGACCAGAACGTGTAAAGGCAACCGGCGTCGAATCGGCGGGTGGGCCGTCGATGAATTCGGTGGATTTTTGACGTCACCTGCAGGGGAGAGCAAATGCTACTGGTGAACAATCAAAACATCTAAATTTGCCTCAAGAATGGTTCCACTTCCTAAAAAACATGGCATTTGTTCAGTGCCCCGCCAATCCAAACTCAGGATCTTTGCTTTCATGTATGTTTTCGTTTCTTCCAGGTCTTCTAACCAATATCTAACCCCTTCCATTTCCTTTCAGCTTCCGACTTGATATTTTTGTTCATTTTGTTATGCCTTTTTGCAGGTCAATCGCCGAAACAAACAAGAATCTCACGACCAGATCCCCTCAGATCTGCCACCATTCCAGGTTTCCACGCCAAGCCCGGCAAAAGCAAGGCATCGAGGAGGGCAAACGAATGTCCAGCGCCTCGAGTCGCCGCGACGCCGCGGAGACGGAGAATGGTCACGAGAGGAAGGACGTCAGACATAACAAAAAACATCAAAAACCAAACCGAAATCGGTGGTTTTTGGGCCGGTTCTTTGGAGACACATGGTTTGGGTAAAAAAACACGGTTTCTCTACACCGCGACCATGAAGGGTTTGTCGGTCTCCGGATCGTTGTGTGCCAACATATGGGCGATGGTCGTGATTCACTTATGTATTACCCAGACACTCCATGTATGCAATATACCTGCATCTTCATTGGGCAAAAAAAATTGCGCACTTGAGTTTGGAGGAGATTTCCGTGTACTCTACAGAAATCTGTGCACTTGAACACAAACTTGTGCTTGTGCATTTCTGTGAGCATGGTCCTGTCTTGAAACACACAAGAAGGCCTTGCTTGTCACTTGCGCCAGAGCCTGCGCTTCCAGCTCAACTTCCGAATCTCCCATGTCATTTTGATACGGATCCGGTCTAGCACTCTGTGGCGTGCAGTTCTTGAACTCACTCTCTGACATATCCTGCTATAACATGTCCCACCACAGATTCATAAGCTTCGTAACTGTAGGGTATAGCGGACAGGGAAAGATGTGTGTTGGGTGGGAAAGACGTGTATAGGACGGGAAAAGACGTGTATTGGACGGGGAGCAAATTTGTCACGCGGGACTTTTCTTCAACAAAATGGAGCCCTGCCGGTTTGACAAGCTCCAAATCATTCCAAATCTCTTGAGGGAGCAGCGGACGCCATTCCTTTGGGATGGGCGCACCCTTCGACCCACAAAGGTATCTCAATACTTCTGACAAAGCTGCATGTTCTCATTTGTCACCGAATGACAGGCTTCACAATTGGAAAAATGCTACCCAATACAGCCCAAAGGGCTACAATCAGAAAATGTGCGTTTGAATGACTTTTGTGTTTTTTCCTGAAAGACGTGTAGTGCACAGGAATTTCTGAATGCACAAAATCCATAAGTTCAAGCAAAGTGTCTCCATCTTGTGCCAAGTTGGGCGCATGTCTCAAGCAGCTAGATGCGCCTGTGGGAAGAAGGGCGGTTGCCGCCCCGGTCCGCTCTCTTGGGGCCGGGTCTTTCTTCACAGCTCTGATGGATCGACTTCTACCAGAGCATACGCGCCTGCCTCAGTACGGGCGCAGCAGCCCCACTCAAAGCAGCAGCTCCATCTGCAACGGACTCCACCTCAGATGCACCGTCTGTGTTCGATGCAATCCCTTCCAAGCCTTGTGACACCTTCGCCACCTCACGTATGCCGTGGTCCAGGTTGAAGCGCATGGCTGTCAGCTGCTTGTAGTTGTGGAGCGTAGTAGGTTCTACTGCAACCGCACTGGATCTTCCCGGCACACATGGTGGCCCGGGAGGTACCTGCTGCACAGGCTGTCCTGCTTGTCCAGGTGGCAGTGGATAGGTTGGCGGCATAGTCGGAGCTGGCCCTTCCCTTTCTTTTTTTTTGGTGAATGATAACCTATCGTTTTTTCAGCGTTTTGAAGTGGAATCCGCCTTTCCTCTTTCTGTTCCTTTTCCTCCGGCGCTTCCCCAAAACCTATATTTTTTAAGCTTTTTTACGCCTTCTTCTCTTCCTTTTCTTTTTTTGGAATGAAAACCTATCGTTTTTTCAGTGTTTTGAAGCGGAATCTGCCCTGCCTCTTCCTTTTCCTCTTGCTCTTCCTCTTCCCCATCCATTTCTTTTGCTCTTGGTCGAATTAAAAGCTATCGTTTTTTGCGCGTTTTTACACGGAATCAATTTTCTTTTCGTGTTCCTGTTCCTCTTCCCTTCTCTTTTCCTTCATTTTCCTGTTGTATGAGTAGGAGTAGTAGTAGTAGTAGTAGTAGCAGTAGGAGTATTTTCACGGCTTTTGCCATCGGTTTTGACTGCTGTCCACGCAAAGGACAACGATGCCTTAATCAATGCCAAGTTTCGCAGTCTGGCGCCTCCCCTGGGTCCACCATTATCCGGCCCGCAACGAATGGAGAGCACTGCGAGAAAGGTCTGTTTGGATTGTTTTCGATGAGCGAATGTGTTGATTGAGTCTCTATAATTGTTGGACGTCACCTGCAAGTCCAGGAAGCGTCTCTGGCGTTGGTTCCAATCTACCCTTTTCCTCAAGACCTTTTTTGGTTCAACATGTGTGCTCCTGGCTCTTCTTCTTCTGCTTCTACTTCATGCTCAAGGCCGCTCACAGTCGCAGAGCCATCATTTTCACACATGGTTACAATTAATCTGCACAAGCTGGACGTATCTCTGGGAGCCGTTCTAAACCCCTGTCGTTCTAAACCCCTGGAATACTATCAGTAGTAGTAGTAGTAGTAGTAGTAGTAGTAGTAGTAGTAGTAGTAG